ACAACGAGAGGGTTATCAGGCGTACCAACACATGGCGGTCCCGGGCTTTCACGTCTCCACAAACGCTGTTCCCGGATAAGTTGGCCAACCTGAAGGGAGCTCTTCTTAAGGTAGCAGGTGGAATCTGAGGATTTTTTTTTTTGCGTATTTTCTTCGATTTTTGTGTGTGATTTTTTTCCTTCGTTGTTTTGTGATTTTTCCCCTTCGTTGTTTTGTGATTTTTTTTTTACTTCGATTTTTTATTATCTGTTATTTTCTTAAGATTAAACCCATTTTCTCATGGTGGTTGTCAACTTTTCGCATTCGCTTAGTCACCGTTGTATTTTTTTTTGTCAATGCTAGAGATCAATGCAAGTCAACTGTTGTTTATTGTTTATAAGCGAAAACCACCTTCATTACCTTGTGGCAAGAGGAAGATAATAGAGCCACCATTCCTGCCTTCATCATCTACTGAAACCTTAGTATCTAATAAAAAAGAAGAGGAATCTTTATAAACTGCCCCGAGTAATGTTATTGCTATGATGTCAGATTTAGAAGACAGTATATAAAACCTTGAAATCATTTTAATAAAGGAACGATTATCATTATCACGAATACTGTTGCAGAATTTATCAGTAAATATCTTCCTCCCCATACTTAGCTTGGGAGTATTAGTCACAAGTTTAAATGCTAATGCGTCATTAACAATTTGTTATACATTGATATTCTACACATCATAGTCAAGTAATATAAAACATAATGAATAAACTAAACAAGAAAGCATTCATATCATAAATACTGGAGTAGTATGATATAGTATAATACCTTATAATTTTCGCCAGACTTCCATGCACGTAAAACTCTACTGCGAATAGAAACTTTGCAGAACTAAGACCATCCCCTCTGTCATTCCCGTTGTATAATTGGTACTGAACTCCCCTTCTGTAGCGTCTGTTTACCCGCCCAGTTATCTATAATAGGTCCGATGTAATTGATTTTATGATACAAATCAAGGTAATTGGAGATTAGGCCGTTTATAGTTTGTAAGTATTTGTCTATCGATTAGAAGATTCGTTTGCACATATTTGGTGTGTAGAGTATAAGCTGGATTAAAAGTGCCTCCTGTCAAAATCTTTATTAACGAAGGAAGCCATGTCAATTCTGTAAGTTCACATTATCCTCACAATACAGTTACTTTTTATCATTATCTTCCATTGAATAGTCACTACTTTCGCTATCCTCTGCCACGATTTCTCTCCGTGTGTCTATTTGTCTGTTTGTCTCTCTCTCTCTCTCCTTTCTCTGTCTTCTTCTTTCTCCCTCCCTTCCATCTCCCATCTCTCTTTCTCTCCATCCTTCTCACTCCCTCTCTCCCTCTCCTTCCTCCCAGGTCGTGACTTTCGAGTGGGAACCGAGCGTCTTGTATTACCGGAACGCCGACGGCACCATGGAGTTCCCTTATGGAATAGACATCGAAGTGGTCAAAGCTCTCGCCGATGTTTACAACTTTACCATCGAGTATATTGAACCTCCTCCCGGTATGTTTACTTTGTTCCTCCTTCCGGCATGTTTACTTCGTGCCTCCTCCCGGTATGTTTACTTCGTGCCTCCTCCCGGTATGTTTACTTCGTGCCTCCTCCCGGTATGTTTACTTCGTGTCTCCTCCCGGTATGTTTACTTCGTGCCTCCTCCCGGTATGTTTACTTCGTGCCTCCTACCGGTATGTTTACTTCGTGCCTCCTCCCGGTATGTTTACTTCGTGCCTCCTCCCAGTATGTTTACTTCGTGCCTCCTCCCGGTGTGTTTACTTCGTGCTTCCTCCCGGTATGTTTACTTCGCGTCTCCTTCCGGTATGTTTACTTCGTGCCTCTTCCTGGTATGTTTACTTCGTGCCTCCTCCCGGTATGTTTACTTCGTGTCTCCTTCCGGTATGTTTACTTCGTGCCTCCTCCCGGTATGTTTACTTCGTGCCTCTTTCTGGTATGTTTACTTCGTGCCTCCTCCCAGTATGTTTACTTCGTGCCTCCTCCCGGTATGTTTACTTCGTGCCTCCTCCCGGTATGTTTACTTCGTGCCTCCTCCTGGTATGTTTACTTCGTGCCTCTTCCTGGTATGTTTACTTCGTACCTCCTCCCGGTATGTTTACTTCGTGCCTCCTCCTGGTATGTTTACTTCGTGCCTCCTCCCATCATGTTTACTTCGTGCCTCCTCCCAGTATGTTTACTTCGTGCCTCCTCCCGGTATGTTTACTTCGTGCCTCCTCCCGGTATGTTTACTTCGTGCCTCCTCCCATCATGTTTACTTCGTGCCTCCTCCCATCATGTTTACTTCGTCCCTCCTCCCATCATGTTTACTTCGTGCCTCCTTCCGGCATGTTTACTTCGTGCCTCCTCCTGGTATGTTTACTTCGTGCCTCCTCCCATCATGTTTACTTCGTCCCTCCTCCCATCATGTTTACTTCGTGCCTCTCGCGATATGTTTACTTCGTGCTTCCTCCCGGTATATTTACTTCGTGTCTCCTCCCGGCATGTTTGCTTCATGCCTCCTCCCGGTATGTTTTCTTCGTGCCTCCTCCCGGTATGTTTACTTCGTACCTCCCCCCGTCATGTTTACTTCGTGCCTCCTCCCGGTATGTTTACTTTGTGGTTGAGGGCAGCTGGTGTGGGAGTTCAAGATCTGTTGGGAGAGATGTGTGTTGTCAATGGGGTTTCTTGTCCTTTTGGTTTTATTGTAACGAGAGTGTTGTTTAAGTGAAAATTAGTCAGAGAGAAGCGTCCCTTCGTCGAATTATTAGAGAGACGTGCGTCATTTAAGTCAAAATTAGGGGCTATTTTTCAGCTGAGCTAAAGCCTTGTGTAAACCACAAAGAATGTCGATGTAGATTATGCTGATGATTATGATGGGTGTGATACTATCGTTGCTAGAGGATATTGGTGGTAATGATAGTAGTAGCAATTGTACCGTTGATTAAGTCTCTGATAAAAATAACCGTTATTATTATGGTGTGCATAACCATAAGTGTACAATAGTAACAGTAATGTAAAGGGTAAGAATAATGGCAATAACTAATAATTAATTTTATTAGTTAGGATAGTTATCATAATACAAGCGACGCTAAGGACATAGTATCCTTTCCCAGGCGAATTTTGGGGCGTGCTCACCGAGAACGGAACGTGGGACGGCATGGTGGGCAAAATCTCGAGGAACGAGGCGGACATGGGCGTCGCCAACCTGTTCCTCACGCTCCACCGCCTGGGAGCCGTCGACTACAGCGCCCCCTACGATGCCGAGGTCGGTTATTTCCGTTATTTTCGGTTTATAGGTTTGATTTTTATTATTTTTTCTTTTATTTATTATTATTATTATTTTTTTTACCGGGCTTCTTGTGCTTCCATGGAATCACATGATAAGCTAAAAAGAAAAAAAAAAGACTGGTGGCCCACGTCACGATAATTTGGGCGTCATGTACCATCCATGGCCCACACTAAGTGGTACCTCCGGTAGACCACTATGCAAGCATATCATTCTTTCCTATACTTACGTGGTAATTATCTCTTTATTAGCTACCAGTGGTCGACCTATAGCTTTATTGGTACTATTTTGTCCTTATAAATAAGGGAAATCTAATGTTTCCATGGAGCTAGAGCAAGCAGAATTGATTATAACAATTAATCTCCAGATGAAGAATTTACAATTAAAAGGAAAGGATGATTCTTTGAAAAATTAAGAAATGAATGATGAGTAGATCAGTAGTGTGAGAAGAATGAATGGCAACAGAAAAATGAAGGAATATAAATAATAACATAGATAAAGATAAGATCCTGGATCAGTTTACGAACGCTGCACACTGACTGGATCCAGTTCAGTCAAGTCTTCGTTCAAGTCCCTTCGCTGGAAAAGAGGAAGAAGGATCTCTGCGGCCGCAAAATGCTACACACACACACACACACACACACACACACACACACACACACACACACACACACATATAGACCTATATATATGGAACAAAAATTAGCTATGGAAGCTCTTACTGGAATCACAATTGTAAATGTTTGGGTGCAATGCAGAAAATACTTTCCTCAGTAGGAAATGCCAGTTCAACAATTTTGAGAATTTCTGGCGCTTTCACCGAAGAAGTTTTGAGTAGGACGAAGGTCACTGCACTCACGGTCAATACTGCTATGACAAAATCCCGGTAAATTAAGGACACAAGGAGACGCGTAATAAAGCAAGGAGAAAGTGAAAATTTTGTGATACTTGTGGTGGGAAATCCCTTCTGTGCATCCCGTGTTTCAGCTAAAAACACTGTATGGAGTAATATTCATATGGAGAAAAAAAAATCTTATTCTTATTGGCCAAAAAGTAGAATTTATGAAAACTTTAATTTCTTGTGGGTAAAAAGTAAATGAACTTGTTTTCCACTATATACTTTATGAATTAAAAAAAAAATAGTGATAAAATACGGAAAAAAATCAAGTTGTGATATTTCTTACAAATTTACCGTAAAGTGAAATGATGCTTGGAGAAAGGAGTAACAGTGTATCAAAACTGGTTGGAAATAAAGCTCTTTATAATCAACTACTATTAAAAAAAAGAAATAGCGCAAATTGTTAAATTACATAGTACCCGGTGGCCCACTACGCGATAGGGAAGCTTGCCCCATGTACACCAATGGCCCACTACACGGCGAACGTCTTAAGGATAATTGATTTTGTTATAATAGCACACAGACAGACGCAGATACGCAAATACATACGAACGCACATGTGTGCACACTCACACACGTACTTATGCATATATACACCTATATACATCAATATCTATCTCTATCTATCCATGTAATCAGGATGTTTTGTACAGTCTTTCTCATTATTCTTAAAATCAATAATTCCAAACGATTTTCTCATTTAACCTACCGATAAAATAAGACATCCCATCATTATCCTTTCCTGACTAATTTCCGGATAAGCTGTTTCATCACCTCCCCCCCCCCTACCGATTTGCAGGTGAGCTGTTTCATGGCCAGAACGGATCCTCCTGCCCCGCGCTGGAAATCCTTGAGTCTCCCCTTCCAGCTTCCCACTTGGCTCGCTATGCTGGTCGGCCTCCTGATCGCCGGGCCCGTTCTCTTTGCGCTCGCCAAGGCCAACACTAACTGGTAGGATCTTGGAAAATGTGGGCATAAGACACCGTATATGTATATATGTATATACACGCACACAAAACACACACACACACACACACACACATATGTACACACACACACACACACACACGCGCGCGCGCGCGCACACACGTACACACACACACACACACACTTATATATACATATAAACACATACACACAAACACACACACACACTCACTTATATACACATATAAACACATACACACACACGCATATACACACACATATATATTTATAAATACATATTTTTTATATACATATAAACGCACACACACACACACACACACACACACATTCATCTATGTGTGTGTATATATATCTATATCTATAACAATATTCATATCTATATCTGTCTTGTCTATCTGTTTGTCCAACTGTATATAGATCTGTACGGCAATCCATATTAACAAAGACTGACAACAAAGACACAAAAGAAATAAACAATTATTGATAATTGGCACTCCCTCCTTATCCCTTCCTCCCTCAAACGCCTATCCTGTACCCGTATTTTTTCTCAACCTTCCATCATCCTCTGTTTCTTTCCCTTCCTCTTTCTTCCTTTCTACGTTCCTTCCTCTCTGCCTTTCAACCTCTCTTTCTTTTTTTTCCCTCTCCCCTCCTGTCCTTTCTCCTCTCCCCTGCTCCCCTACATTTCCTTCTTTTCCCTCCTTCTTCTCAACCCTTTTATTCTCCTTTTTTTCTTCTTCTTTTCCTTTCCCTTTTCTCTGCCCTCTCCCCCTCCACTCTTTCTCCTCCTTCCCAACCCTCTTCTTCCCCTCCCCACCCTTTCTCCTCCCTACATCCCCCACCTTCCCCACACCCTGCTCCTTTCCCCCTCCCCCACACCCATCCCTTGCTCCCCCCCGCCCCTTTCCCCCTTCCTTGCTCCTCCCGCCCCTCCCCCTCCCCCCAGGGTCGGCGGCGAAGTGAAGCTCCTGCAAACCATGAGCTTCTCGTTCCTCTACGTCTTCGGCATGCACTTCCGCGAACCCCAGCAGCTGATGCCCCAAAGTACCACCACCAGGATCTTCATCATGTTCCTGTGGCTGTACACGATCATCCTCACCACCGCCTACAACTCCAACCTGACGGCCTTCCTGACGGTTGTCCAGGCGCCCTCGAGTATGGAGACGGTCAAGGAGCTCCACGGGTCCGGCGCGGAGGTCTCGGGTCTTGGCGGTTTCTTCAAGGGGGCGCTGGCGTCTGCGGTCGACCCTTATCTGCAGGTGATGGGGGAGTACGGGGATGTGTTTGTTGCTGAAAATTCGCTGTAGAGTTTTGTGTTTGTTATTGTCTTTGTTATCATTGTTGTTTATCACCGTTATTATCAATGGTATCATTAATAGAAGTAGGAGTATTGTCGTTATGTTATCCTAGTTATCAGTGCAGTCTGATGAATTGATAAGGGTTGCTTAGGTCAGTGATTTCCAAACTTTGTCAGGCTGGCGCCCCTTGGCTTCTTTGGCTTATACACACATGCTAACACACTTTTTTGTTATGATTCAAATTGAAAACAAGATTAAAAACGAAAACTTATTAAAAAAATAAAGTCTAATTTAGTAAACCAATTTATTTAGGAGTGGGCACATTATAGCTACCCCCGCTTTGATAGCCTCCGAGCTAGTACAGTAGTAACTTGTAAGCGTCTCATACGAGGGGTCGGGGGTTTGCGTCCCAGTCAAGCGAACAGGTTCAACTGGCGCTTGGAGGTTACTGCTGTGGCTGGGCAACACGGTGGGTAAGGACTAAGCTCAGTCGAGTCAGCACCAGCTGGCACGCACTAATCCAGTCGGCACAGGCCGGCCTCCCTTCATAGGCATAACATGGGCGAGGCTCAGCTTCGCATATCTGAATTATCTTTATGCGCCTTCCCTTCCGCCCCCTTTTAATTCACCACCCACACAGATCTGCTTACTCTGGGAACTAATGGCTTATATGGCAACTTCAACTGTCTTTTAACTTTGATTATGGTCCCTCTCAGACCCAGAGAAACACAAACATCAACGTAAACTAATAACACATTATCTCCCCAGGCCTTGGCAGAGAGATTCAAGGCCTATAACGAGCTGAACGTTGTCTGGCCGAACGTTCAGAGCGGCGATTCCGTCTATCTGCATAACAGACAGTTTCTCGAATTCGTCATCACAACGCAGTTTACGAGGAAGGGTGTCTCTTCCATGAGAATTATGAAGGTTTGTGCTCCCGTCATTTTACAAGTGTCTACCCTCCAAATTGTATTATGTCTTTGGTTGCAGTGGTTATTGTTACAATTAGTGTTATCAAAAAATAAAGGGTGTTTATATATTGATTAATTCATATCAGTTCAAATGGTTATGTTATTATGTGAATGCGTTAATTATACTAGTTAAATGGGTTATCGACTTGTCCAAAGAAAACGCAAGAAATATAAAAATTTAAGGGGTAGCTGATGTAAATAACATCAGTTAAATCATACAAATACTGAGTAAGTTTTCTTTTGTACAGAATAACAACTATAATAAACTTGAGTTAGGAGAACGTTGATTTGATATACTCATGTTAAACTAATGAGTTGACATGAACTTACCCAAGATGATATTTTGATAAGACTAGTTATTTTTTAAGGAATGGAAAGAGAGATAAATCTATAAAATGTTGAAGAAAACGAAGGAGAAGAGGAAGAAAAAAAGAAAAAAAGTAATAGTAGAAGAAGAAGAAGAAAGAAGAAAAAAAAAGAAAAAGAAAAAGGAGAAGAAGAAAAAATGATGTAGAAGAAGAAGAAGTGGAAAATGAAATAATAAGAAGGAAAAGAAGAAAAAAATGGAGTTAAAGCGTATATCCAGAAATTTACCATTACAAAAACATCTTCACAAACCCTATTAGAAATAAATTTATCAATAGCATTCACACACGAAGCGATGGTAATACCAGTATTAATATATATTTTGCATATAACATAACTTGCACAACCATTTTTTTACAAATAAAAAATACATTAAAGACATAAATAAATAGAAATACATATGCAAATGACGATCAAATTTAAAATAAAGCAAACAGATAAAGAAACAAATCTCATTCTCATTTGTTTTTACTTCTACTATTTATTTATTTTTTATTATTCTTTCTGTATCTCCTCCTCTTCGTCTATCCCTCTGTTTCTCTTATCCTCCTAATCCTCCTCTTTCATCCAGTCAAAAATCAACCAAAATAGACAACCAAACAACCAAAAATCAACCAAAATAGACAACCAAACAACCAAAAATCAACCAAAATAAACAACCAAGAATAAAAAACCAAATCAACAAAAATCAGACCGACAAACCCCTTCCAGGAATGCTTCGCTCCGTACAACATCGCCATGGCCCTCCAACGCCACTCGCCCCTCAAGAGGAAGTTCGACAAAGCCATCAGGTGGATGTTGGAGAGCGGCCTCATCAGGAGGTGGTTCCTCGAGTCGCTGAGGCTGTCCAGGAAGGTGATTATAAGGCTTAACCTATTCGCCCCGGATTTATGTTCTGTCCCTTGTAGTTTTTGGTGAATTTTGTTACCTACAGATGGCTCCACATGTGCTCAGGCGGCAAGGAGTCTATCGACTCTGATTTTCCCATTCATTGAATTGGCGGGGAAAATTAATATCATTGCTATCGATACTGTTATTATTGTTATTGATGTTATAGTTATTAAATTGTCATTAGAATGTTTTAGACAATGAAATGATACAAAAAACCTTATCCTAAAGTGAAGGAAAAGGGTAAACAGGTGAAATAGGTAGTTCTTGATAACTGGCTATTTGGTGATTAAGAACTTGTGGAGCCATCTATGTGTAGATACAATAAGCAAACGTGTATCAAAGTGGGCATGGCATCTATTCTTGCCACGTTGGGCGAATGGGTTAAGAGAAGTGGGGGTTTTGTAGGCCTAAAACACTAGGTTGTTACGTAGGGAAATGGTTGTGGTACACATGGGGGTGAAAATCGGTGATGCCAGGAAGGTAAGTGTAGGCTTTGAAGAAGGTGGATTTGTGGTTTAAAAGATTCGGATTGTTAAGACAGAGGTAAATAGATTTTAAAAGGTGGTAGACAGGGGATGGACGAGATTGGGGTTGCCAGGAAGGGAAATATAGTCTTAATAGAGGTGGTTTGTGGTTTTATAAGATTAATTAAAAAGATTGGGTTGTCTGGAAGGTAATTAAAAGTCACAGATGGATTTGTGGTTTAAAAGACTGGGTTGTTAAGGAGGTAAGTAGAATTTAGATGTGGAGTGAAAAAGATCCAGGTGCCAGGAAGGTAATTATAGTCTTAAATAAGATGGATTTATAGTTTAAAAGACTGGGTTGTTAAGGAGGTAAATAGATTTTAAAGGGTGATAGATATGGGATGAAAGAAACTGTGTTGCCAGGAAGGTAAATGAAGTCTTACAGGAGATTTGAGTTGGTAAGTAGGTAAATATATTTAAAAAAATGATGGATATGAAAGTAAAGAGATTGGCTCGGCAGGGAGGGAAATATATCTTTAGAGGAGGGGGATTTATGAACTAAGAGATTTGGGTTGGTAAGAAGCATTTTAAAGGGTAATAGCATGCCCGGAATGTCGACATTTTAAAAGGGGGCATATTTATGATTTAAAGGACTGGGTTGCTAAAAAGGAGTTAAATAAATCTTTAAATATGATAGATATGGGAATTAAAGGACTGTTTAATTTCTAAGAAGGAAGTGAGTATATTCTTAAAGGAGGTGGCTTTATGATTTAAAAGATAAAAAAGGGTTGCCAGGAAAGAGGCAAATATATAACGAAAACATGTGAATCTGAAATTTAAAAGATTGCGTTGCTAAGAAGGGGATTTGTATATTCTTAAAAAAAAAGTTTTATGGTTTAAAGATCAAGTTGTTTAGGTAAATATATTCTTAAAGGATGTTGCTTTATGGTTTCAAAGACTAGATTGTTAAGAATTAGGTAAATATATTTAAAATAGTGATAAGTATGGGATTTAAAAAAAAATGGTTGGCTTGCATAGGAATATTTTCAAAACAGGTGGATTTAAGATTGAGCTTGAAAGAGTGTTAACGGGGAGGAAAGTGCAGTTTACAAGGGATATCGATATAGAATATACATACCCTAGGCTACCCATGAAGTTTCAACACACTTTAAGAAAGAATGGATAAAAGATTTAATAAGAATGAGTTGCCAGGAAGTCAGCAGATTTTAAGGGAAGATAGATATGAGGTTGAAAGATTAGGAAAGGAAAGAGAGTAAACGGAGGTTAGAAGGTAAGAGGAACGGAGGTAAAGTTACTGGAGAAAGGGAAGTGATAATCTGCTTACGTTCTTCGTTTTGTATCTTATCTCTTTTTCTTTCTTATCTCTTCCTCTTCGTTTTTTTTTTTCTTTTACTCCTCCTTCTACTCTTTCTTCTTTTTTTTCCTGTTCTGTCTCCTTGTCCTTCTTCCTCTCTCCTACTCGGTCTTCATTTCTTCTCATTCTTTCGTTTCTCCCTCTTCCTTTTTCTCTTTTCTTCTTCCTATTCTTCTTCTTATTCTTCTTCATCTTCCTTCTTACTGTTACTCCTCTTATCCTCATCTTCTTTCCATTTCCTCTCTCCTTCTTCTTCTCCTTTATTCCATTTATTCACCTCCTGCTTCTTCTTTATCTTCACTCTCTCTTCCTCCTCCTCATCGTCCTTGCCTTTCTCTTTTTCCTTTTTTTTCCTTTTCTTCTATTCCCTTTCTCCCATGCCCATTTTTCCCCTATTTTCTCTGGCCTCCTCCTCCGCCTCCTCTTCCTTCTTCTCCTTCGCTTGCATTCCTCCTTCTTCCTAATTCCGTATTTCCTCTCTTCTCCTTCTCCCCTTTCCTCTTTTCTCCATTCTTCCTCCTCCCTCTCCCTATTCCCCTATTTCCTCTCTTATTCTCTCTCTTCCTCCTCCTCCATCCTCCTATTTCCCTATATCCTCTCTTCTCTTTCTCCCTTCCTCTTTTTTTTCATTCTTCCTCCTTCCTCTTCTTATTCTCCTATTTCCCCTCTTCTTCTCCCCTTTCCTCCTCCTTCATCCACCCGTTTCCCTATTTCCTCTCTTCTCTCTCTTCCTTCCTCTTTTTTT